ACTTGAAATAAATAATATCTAGTTAACAATTAATGGATTACTACATTAGTCGACGGTTATTTTAATAAGCGATTAATCCGAATAATTGTTTTAGCTCTAATTGCAACACATTAATGTGTTTTGATCTGAATCATTTCTGAGCAGCTCTGGGTTTATATTTTAGGATATGTTTGCCTGTATCAAAACATTTGGAACAAGTTGGCACTATTAATCACCAGCCAGCTCTTACATGCTTTCCTGTCACTGGTAACAGAAAACAACCCCATGCCATGATACTGTCACCATAGTGTTTTATTCATATTCAGTGTATTAGGTACCACTACACATATTAGTAAGTTGTGTGTGCAAATTACTTTCATTAAGCAATTAATTTCCTTTCGCTATTCTTCCAGAAAAGTCTTAACTTGTTGAGCTGAGATTTCATAGATTAAAGGGAGAATTGATCATCTTATTTTCCTTCTTTAGAGTTTCCTAAGGCTTCTGGGTTCCTTTTCTTAGTGGACAGCCTGTTTATTCAGGTCTAAGCAGGATTGCATTTGTACCAGGTGTTTACCAGGTTTCAATGCTATATGCCTATTATCTTGTTTTAAAATCAGTTTCTGCTTTAAACTTCTCTACAACCTACTCCTTACCTGTCTGGTGTGTTTTTTGGTTTTCTAAGCTAATTATTTTATTTTTGTATGTCCAAAAATTTCAAAAAGCATATTTCTTATGTCCACTTTCCTGTCACGCTCTGCTTTATGACTACTTCATATCAGTAGTAGTAAAAAATCCCCCAAAAATCATTGCAGCGAAATGCCTTATACAGTCATCATAACTGAATGTACAGTAACATGAAAGGTAAAAAAAGCTTTTTGTAACTTATTTTATTTGTTTTGGTCTCAACAGCTGCATAACGAGGCTACATGGTGTGTGTTTCCTGCCCAGACTGTGGATGTGTGGTCGTCCAGGGATGCAGAGCTACGAGGAGTTCTGTCTGCAGAGTTTGGCGTTACTGCAGGAGGGGAAACTCCAGAGGAAGACATGTGAACCTCTTAGTTCCCTGAAGGGTCCCTCTGTCATCCGCTTTCATGGAAGATCTATACTGTTGCCTCGGGTAAGGAAAACATAAATTAACTTTGTTATGTTTGAAACAGAAGCCATCTAATGATCTAGACAGCTCCTGATTTTTATTTTTGTTTTCCAGCTTCAGTAACAACTCTATTTACACTCATTATAGGCATAAATTCTCTATTCATTTGTTCAAGGGGCAATTTAAGGATGACCAAGCAGCAGATAACTTTATTGAGTTTTCAAAACACAAATTGGTTGCTTAGATTTAAATTTATTATTATATCCAGATGTGATCTAAATTATAGTACCATTGTGGTTTATACACGAGTATACTGACTTATTTTTCAGCCAGCATTACGGATACCTTCTTTTAAATCTCCTGTGATCTGCACTATTAAGCAGAATATCCAAGCCAAATTTCCCCTTTTTTCCTAGGATGGTGAATCCATCACCTGTGCTACCCTGCTTCTAATTGGCTAATGATCACTGAATTTACTAAATACATTGGTTGACTTTAGGCATGAGTCGACCATTGAGCCAGTCGGAGGCAGAGAAGGGCGACTCATGCTGATGTTAATATTGCTCACCTATTAAATAACATTTACAAGTTTAAGGAATGATTTTCCTTTGGGATTTACAAAGAATTGGTAATATGAAGAGAACAAAAAAAAAAACACTTTCATTTCCTAATTACAAACATCCTCATGAATTGACATTAGACAGCAGTTCAGCTAGTGTTAGCTATGCTACTCCGTTACATTTAAGCCTAACGTCAATGCCCACTCTGCCCCCTTCCCTTGTCGGACAAGCAAGAAAAGAAAATGCATCTTCACCCTTAGCCAAAGATGTCGGTACAAGTTTGGATGTAGGCATCAACATTTTTTAATGTTGGACCATGTCATAACATGTCAGAGCTTAACAGTACTGAGTCAGGAAAATATAGAGAGACAACAGGTGCAAATCGTGGCAGTGGCAACGGCCAATGGTTTCCATGTCCTAGCACGCTACCGGAGCAAGCGCCAGACAGCCTGCCACTGATTTAAATCCCTGCAGTTTTGGGTTTGGATTCAAACAGGTCCAGCTTTTCCCAGGTATTCAACGCCAATATGGTCTGTTGCCTAGCAACTGTGAAAGCTGACACACAAAGCAGGCAAAGACAGGATACCAGACTTCTCCCCACTGTTCTGGGTGCTAATAACATTTTCGAGGAGCTTCAGCAGCAATATCGTTGTCGCGACTATCAGATTTATACTCCCCACACTGCAGAGATATTGGAATCTGTCCTTAAATGTCAGCCAAAGCCATTTGCTTAGGGACAGACAAAAGCTTTCAATAAACCAAACATTATCTACCACATATTTGACTCAATAACCATTAAAAACAACTATTCTCATTAAATTCAGATGGAACTATTCACACACTTGTATTATATTAAACTGCACTTACAATATCACCACTGTTCAGTGCCATTTACCTTTTTCCTCTGAGAACGGAGAAACCTGCTTGCTTTGACTTTCAATGAATCATGGAATATCCAAGGCTACATAGGATCTACCGGACCTGTCCTACAATAAAAGGCTAAAAGAAGGCTGCATTTGTTGGCTGCATAACGAGGAGTCTTCAAATTTGAACAGGCCTCGGCAACACGCTATGATGTAACGGCCGACGAATCTGGCCTTCAGAGGACGCAGCCCCATAATTTCGAATTTAGCAATAGTGGGACTTTTACTGACATACCACTGCCACAAGGTGCCACTTAGCCGGCAGGCCACCTGCCGCAATGCTATGGCTGTTTATGAGCAAATGCTTTTATTTTGGGGTTATTTGATGCATGTTCTATATTTACTTTCAATCCACGTGATGTTAGCAATAAACATTTTTCAAAATGGATTTACAACATTTAGAGTTGTGTCTGTTACCTGGCAAGCTAAGCTATTTGTAGTTATTAATGAACAATAACATTTGACATAGACCTATCAAATATTATTTTACCTGTTTCCATATAAAGACATATATATGTAGAATCCTGTGGTATCTTTGTGGAAGGGAATTCTAGGGAGTACCAGCATGTTTTTAAGTGTTTTTCCTTTTGTAACAACTCACAACAAGCTCTCACGCTGTATAATTATGTTTATTTTTTTGTTTGAGGATCCCCACTAGTCTCTACCAGAGTAGAGACTACTCTTCCTGGGGTCCATTTTCAACAAAAATTACCACAATCAGTACATACAACAAACTTACAGTAGTAACCTCATTATTAAAAAAGACAATCAAACCAAACAAAACACAAGCAAAAACATACACTATGTTGTCCCTTGTTAAACAAAGAAAATTTCGTTATTAATTATAGATTTTTTTTAAGATTTTATTTATATCTATTTATTTATTATTTATTTGTATCTTATAACTATCCTGATATCCCGTTTGCCAATAATCAGCAATGCTTCCATGAAAACATTAGCAGCAGCCGTTATTGAAGGATTTTACAGCAGGTCTGGCATCTCTGTAGCATNATCCCGTTTGCCAATAATCAGCAATGCTTCCATGAAAACATTAGCAGCAGCCGTTATTGAAGGATTTTACAGCAGGTCTGGCATCTCTGTAGCATCTTACCATCCGCTGGTATTATTGTGCATTTTTGTGGCACCCAACAGCCACTGATTTCACAAATGTGCCAGCGTATTTTCAGGTGATTGTTTTAATATCACCACATTATTTTTCTTATCACAGGTCAAACCACTAACACAAACAGTTACCTTATAACTTTTTCATTAAATTGGTTAAAAATGTTATTAAATTATGTGAATTTAGCACATCATTAATTGAAAGTAAATATAGAACAGGCAATAAATAAACCCAAAATCAAACCATTTGCTCATAAATAGCTATAGAATTGCAGTGAACTTAGCGACACCTAGTGGCAGTGGCATGCCACTGCAGCTGCCACAATGTGGATGGCAAAAGTTCCAAAATCTTTTATTAGAAATAGTATAAATAAAATATGATTATTTTTAGAAAGAGGCCATAGGAAGTGCCACTACCAGATGCCGCTGGCACAAATTGAGCTCGGCCCTGCTTATGTAACTGATGATATGTTGTAAATGCATTTTTTTTACATTAAATATTGTTATGTTACATATTGTTTTATTGATTAATTTAAATGATGAATTCCAATCATCATATGATATACCTATATATATAGTCTAATTAGTTACACTAAAATTGTCTTTACTTTAATTTGTAAGAGTTTAAAACCAATCGATAAACTGAAAAGTTTATCAGATTTTCAATTTTAAATCTGAGCTGAAATATGAACAAGGATGCCCAATTTACATCTTAAATGTTTTATTTAAATAAACTTTTTATAAATAACTGAAACACCATGTTTACCTCATCTGTATTTTATATTCATGCTGGCTGCCTGTGTGACCAATAATACCAACAAACTGCTACTGATTAAGTTATGCTAATTTTAATAGCGGCCCACACTAACTGTTGTGAATCAGCTGTTCCAAGACACAGTATACAAAAGAAACTAATAACTTGCAAAGTGAAAGAATAGGTGTCATCCATGTGGATTGGCTCAGGAATAAGGAATTTGTCTCTCTACTGTGTAACCCTACTAGTGATTGTTCAGATATCCTTTGAACAGGCAATCCAGAAGTTTAGTTAGTTTCTTTTCTCTAATTTACAACCTGTTTCTTGTTTGGGATCAGTGTCCTAATGGGACACCTAACTGAGTCTCAACAAGGGTTCAAAAATGTGACCCAAACTGCCACCCTTAGATAAAGTAAAATTAGTTATGAAGTTCAAAGACCACAGTAGGTTTTATAAAATCCTGAACTGAAGGGTTAGTAAATCAGAAAGCTTTCAAATGAATACCTACAGGATTTATTTCATTGCCCAACTACTTAAGCCAAATGGACTTTACTGAAATTAGAAAAGAAAATCTTTATGGAAGTAAATGTGAAACCTTTGAGACTAAAATTACCTTAAAATATCTGCTTTTAAGCATTGTGGTGACACCACCATAAAGTGGGGGTGCTTTGCCGCCAGTCCAACATTGCACAAAGTTTATGAAATGATTATAATATAGGTATACCTGCAAATTCCATATCTTTCCTTTAAATCAACGATGGATAGTTTAAAACTGAACACAATCATATTTCCTAACAGTAAAATCATCCAAAACACATAGAAACTGGTCTTGATTAGATGAAGTAGCTTAACAGAGAGACTCAGGTCCATGATGAGGCCATGTTAGCATCCTTCTAAAAGTGAAGGAGTGAAAATTCAAACCAGTTAATTTTACCTCAGTGTTTGCTTAACTTTAAGCACAACAGAATAGAAATACCCTTTAATGTATCTTAGGGGGGAAATGTAGGTGTATCAGGAGGGAAGTGACAAGCAAAATGTAAAAATGCTGATTCACTGGTAACAATTCAAAGAAAAATTTGAAGTGGATGTCTGTTGATAAATATAATACATTAATGCATTATAAATGTTTTTCTTTGAGAGACATATGAAACCTGTTATTTCTATAGAACATGATCAATCATCTGTCATGGCCTTAACAGAGGAGGTGTGAGTTCAGTTTGTAGCATCAAAAAACAATAATCCATTGAACCCAGCTCTGCTATTTGAACCTGTGATTTTCATGCTAAAAGAAATAAGGCCTCTGATAAGGAGAGTCTAATCGGCTCTTGGCAGAAAAAATAGGGAAAAGGTGATTGATGAGGAGCTGCATCAGGACTGATTAAAAAAGCAAAGTCAGTGCTCACAAAATGGGTTCAGGAACAGTCTCACATTAGAAACTCTTACAACAAAACAAAGAGAAAGTATCTAAGCTCCTAAGTGAAAAAACCACATTATTGGAGGGAACACATGGATTCAAAGATTTTTCAGCTAACCTTTCAGTATTTTTGTGGACATCACTTGAGTCCTTGATGTGCAAACAAAAATCTGTTTTTGTTTTTCAGCTGAGTGCAGAGCAGTATGCAGAGATGTATGGCTACAAGCAAAGAGCAATCCAGCTGGAGCAGAACAAGGAGAACCAGCAGAGAAAAAGGCTCCTGGCCCGTGTTCAGGACATACTGGATCAAGCTCAGGTCAGTGTGCATTGCAACCTCCCGGGTATCTCAGCTAATGTTATGGGGAGACTCTGGTGAAGGCAGATTCTTAAAAGTCTACAATATGTAGAATCATTTCATCCACACAGAGCAAGAAAAATTAGATTTTTTTTCTTCATATATAGATTTCACATGCATGATTCAATTGTTAAAGTAGGTTTGTGTGCAAGATGTGAATCAGAACGTAAATTAAACATCGCCCTGAATTGAAATCTCTGGTGATAATCACAGAGTTAAATACAAGGGTCAGATTCTACGTTAATTCAGTGAACCAAAATATTTCTATCTGATTAAAATTGTTTTTTCTAAACTGTCTAGTTTCCCACAGGTTTTGAATCTGACAACTTTTTCTTAGCATTTGTGTTGGGATCATTTCTCATCATAAACCATAAGACCCAAAGTTTCAGCCTCAAATTAAAAGAAATTGGTTTGGAACGTTTAAGACTAATCCCAGGAAACATCAGGGATCAACTAAATATAAACTGGAGAACCGGTGTAAAGTCATTTGAACATTAACAAAGATTATGATTCTGTTCTCAAAAAGAAAGGAAAACATACAAATTCAGACGGCATTAGTATTTGCAGCTGGCCTTATGGACAAGCCAAAAATGTTTAAACTAGCATTTTATGGTCAAAGATGAAACAATTTGACCACAATGATGAAAAGTAAGCTGAAGGCTTGCAACTTGCAAGTTAAATATTGAAATATTAAGATATACATTTTCCACAGGTCTGTGTCTAATGTATTAATTCAGAAGGTAAAATGCATTAAACATTTAATGTTTGATTATTTCAAACTAAAAAATGTCAAAAATATTCTAGAACTACACAATGGAGACTAGAATTGAAGACTTTTCAAACAGGAAATGAGTGCTTTTCATTTGTGACCAGACCTTAGTGGTAAAGTTATGTTGGCTTTGTCTCTAAAGCAGAACGTTAAAGCTAAGGAATAATCTTATACTCGACTGCAGAGTATATGAGAAAAATTCTGGTTCTAACTGCTGTTGCCAGTTTAAACTAATGCTCACAAGCCAAGATTTCACAGCAGTATGTGCCACTGGTTTAAAGAGATGTAAGCTGCCAGAAGTGTGAATAGTTTAGTCTGTCAATTTTCATCACATGTGATGGATGTGTGGATCAAAGCTAAGGTTGCCTGTGAAGATCTGACCTCCTAGTCCAAATCTTTCTTCTAATTGTTAATGGAAATATGAAAGATCTGCCTTTCTAGTGCAAAGCAGTCACACCATAATAGCTCTTTTGTCTGTGTGTATTTTGTTCAGGTGCAAGAAGTACCATGTGAGAAAAATATCAAGCTGCTTGTTTGTAAACCTGCGACTGTTAGTGGCTACACCTTGGTTACTGACTCACCTGGGCCTCCCAAAGCTGCTGGAGTTAAGTCAGAGGCAGTAGAGTCTCCTAATCCAAGCTCTGAGACTCCCATAAACAACGGTTATAAAGAAGAGGAGACTTTAAATGGGGAGGATCAAGAGAGAAGTGAAGAGGAAGAGGAGGAAGATGAGGACATAAGTTTGGATAGCCTTCTTAAAAGATCAAGGGAGTATGTGCAGCGGGAGCAGAATCAGCAGAGATCAGCTGAGACGGTTGACCCCATCAGAGAGACTTCCCCAGCGAAAAGGGTTTCTATCAAACAGCACAGTCCTATAAGAGACAAAGGTGTTGAGTTTGGATTCAGTTTGCATCATAGCCCACCTGGTTATGATCCCAGTCCCCAAAGGTCTGCCCCCCTCTCACCTATTAACCCGGAGTATGCTTGTCTCCCTAGTCAGGAGTCCCATATTAGCCTTCGTTCTGGTTGCCGTAAACCGCGGCCATTTTCTACAGGAAACATTCACATCTCGTTTCCAGTTGGAACTGCAGACCTTATCCCTCGAAGCCCGGAGAGGTTAAAGGGGCGGGCTGTTCAGGTGGACTGGTCAGCGGCTCTGTCAGCTGGTTCCTACAGCAGTTGGGGCATAGAGGAGGGTGAAGGCAGGTGCAATGCCACCCCAGTGCAGGAAAGAAAAAGCTCTGTGAGTGTCTCAGTACCCAGCTCCATGATGCACCATGAGTCTTTGGGTTTCCGTCGGCGCTCTCACACACTAGACAGCCAGCTGAATACCTTCCAGTCTGGAGCAGAGCATGTTGACCGGAGCCAGGAGAGGGTCCCTCGCTTCATTGCAGGTGTGACATGCCTAGCTCCAAGTAGGCGCTCCACTGAAGCCCCTTTGAACCGATCTTACAAGACAGAAAGCTGCACTTCACGTCCGCTGAGGCACCGTTGGAGTCCTGATGAGTCCCAAGAGTTAACCAACAGCAAGAAAACACCTTTCCTGAAAAATACTGCTGAGCTACATCCCAAGTCAGGTCAGTTTATCTGTTAATTTTATGTCAAGATTCTGTTTTTGCAATTCTTTTCCTGTGACTGAATAAACTTGATTTTTTTCCCAGACCAGTTTTACCTGTTTATGCTAAAGTGAAAATGCAAAAAAGATTTTGTTTTTAAAATAAACAGAGGCGAGCCAATGGCGAGCGCATGCTCTGGAGGACATGCATAGACATTTAGAGGAGGAATATGCCTTGCAGATGGCGACACTTCTAGCTGAGCAAGAAAAGGAGCAACACCGCCTCCATCTGGTAAGAACAAATACCACAGGAGTACATGGTATAGCAGGTAATTTGTTTTACTTTTTTTTGTTCTTCAAAATACAGTCACCTAAGTCAAAAAGAATGTTATAGGAATGTTAATGTATTTAGATGAGTCAATAAAAGACATTTAAATATGACATCAACTCATTACAGTCAGATTTAAATGTTTCCTCTAAGCTGTGGGCCTGCACAATCCAAACACACATAATACAAGCTCCACACACACACAACACGATTCAAGCAAGCATACAAGATCCACACATGCACAGCACATGATTCTGCAGGTGGGAAAGGAATGACTTTAGGGTTAGGATTAAGATTCACACGGTGATGAAAACCTACTAAGCCTACTGGCACAATCTGAAGCCTGATGGGTTATGCTGAGCTGACAGAACACCGGCCAGGTAAAGATCCGCTAATGCAAACGCAGTAAACAGGATAAAGAACATTGAGAAGATCTGGTTTGTCAAATTGAAATATGGTAACGTTAGATCGACAACTACAAATTACAGCATATATATTCCCAAAACCTAAAACTGTTTAATTAAATTATTGGATGCAGATTATCGGCACTTCAACGTACCAGGAAGCAGATTTATCATCTCTATCAAAATATTTATTTTATTCTGAGAGGCTTAAAAGTTTCATCAAATCCAGTCACAACAAATTCCAAGAGCACATCTGACAACTTCAAAATAACCTTCTTATCCCAGGCATGAATGAAGAGATACTGAGTTTAGAGGTAGAGAACAAACCAATGTTGTATGATTATTCCTGTTTCAAAGACCCACAACCGAAAATTAATGTTTGGGCAGAAATGTGTGATTGATGCTGATGGTGAGATTTAATTATGTCATATTAAATTTAGTGTTCAGTACTGCATGTTTTTTTTTCCTATTAATTAAATAATAATAACGCGCATGCTCTCCTTGAGCTCAAAAGAAGTTGGAGCGGAGCAAGATGGCTTTTTTTTGAGCAGGCAATCTGAAGGATGTGGAATCTGGAGGTCAGTTATCCCACGTGGATTACTTTCTTGCAATTGGCTTATACAAGGGAGGTCTGTGATTGGTTGCAGACATCCCCATTTAAAAAAATGCATTTGTGTATCGAGGCATGTCAGGAGAGTTTCAAAAATCCACACAAATGCAGTGAAGTTTAAAGACCACTGGTACTTTGCAATTTAATTTATAAATGTTTATGGACCAAAAATACTTTTGCGAATCATGTGCTGTGCATGTGTGAATCTTGTGTGATTGTGTGAATCGGGCTGTGTGTGTTTTGAGCTTGTCCTGTGCATGTATGAATCACAAATGTGTATTTGTGAAAATCGAGACCGATCTAGCCCATTACTGACGCATTCTCAGCATACAAGAAAATCTTTACAGTGCAATAAAAAATATCCCACCTAAATCAATTAGACCGGAGGTCTTCAACAGTGGGTCTGCAACCCTTAGGGGGTCCACAGACGTACTGCATGGGGGTTGTGAAAGTTTTGGTTGATTAGACTTTTTTTTTATATTCCCCCCCACAATTTTTTCCACTAATTGAAATGTCTTTATATACATATTAACATGAATTCAACATACTATAGTAAACAGATAAATGGAAGCAGAAGATGTCTTTCAGTCATCAATGCACACATTCAGCGACACACGCACAAGCTCTTTCAAGCTGGTCACCGTTTCATTCACAACACCCATCCTATCCATGAGGAATTTGAATCAGAATCAGAAATACATTAATAATCCCAGGACGAAATTACTTTCGTTACATGACTCCATATGTAATAGAGTCGCTAAAGGACCAGTTTGATCTAACACAATTTCATACCATATATATATATATATATATATATATATATATATATATATACACATATATATAATTAGGGGGTCCCCGCTCCATCTCGCCATCAGTTTGGGGGTCCTTGGCCTGGAAAACGTTGAAGAGCCCTGAATTAGACCAATAACATTTTGAATCTATGTATCATTTGTTTTTCCACTTAAAACCAACAATATAAATACAAGCAATTTTGTGACATATTATTGAAAAGGAGTTATTTTAGAAGCAGTTATTTTAGCTTCCCATACCAAATTAAACATATATATAAAAAAATTATTTAGTTTTCGGCTCCTATAACATCTCGTTTTTATGAGTGCTATCACAAATTACATCTACGGGTAGAAAAAAAAAACAATATTATGTATCGGGTATAAATGAATACAATGTGGGCAGGTGTCACACAGAGAGTTACAGCATGAATGAAACTTATTTATATGTTTTTATGTATTGACTCTACACTCTAAAAATAAATTGATTCAAGAATATCCAAATAACAGTGATTTTTTTTTTAAGCAACGAGGCAAACCTTCTTACTTCAGCCCATTTATAGCTGTTAATCTGTGAGCGCAGCGGGCATTGCATGTGAGCGTGAAGCCATGTTCTTTTCTCCCTCTGTTAAACTAAACGGCTTTGTGAACACTTTGTGATCACAGGTTTGGTCGTACTTAATTATTTATTGTTCCTTGTGGTCAGGACCAGGTTTTATATAGGATAACTTAGAGAAACGGGTTGGGCTCGGTTCTGAACTCTACTGTTGCAGGTGGATACAGTTTTGAAAAATCAGACCCATTCAGGACTCTGTCTTAGCCTGCTGCATGCTTGACGTGACTGCTGGCTTTACTGAACATCAGCTGCTCTGGCGCATGATCTATCCTAAATTTTAGTTTAAAATATCACCATCAAATCAGTTTAAGAATAAATCTGAATAAATTTAGGAGTTGTATTTGGATGAATATGTTCAATTAAACATTGTTATTTAAAAAAGGTTCAACAAATGTCCTTATTCAGCGTATCAAAGAGAGAAACAGATGCATACGTAAATAAATAATCCAGCTGGAAGAACAGTATGTGGTGCCTAAATTATTTATCAGTCTCCAGGAACCATGAAACTAATCAATTGGTAACAGTCCTGCTATCCGACATGCACGTAGTTTAAGTCATTCCTGCTCACAGCTCAGGACAATGCTATGTGACTTTTATTTTTTTTAATAAATTCAAGTATATGATGAAGTAAAAACATAATCACTACATTCTCAGATATGGTGGCTGTAGCACTTAGATGGGAGGAGCTAAAGAAGATCTCACAGCTAAAGATCTACTTTAAGATCCTAACATGATTTAAAAGTGAACAAACATTGGAGACATAAGAAGGACGCATATGAAAAATAGAAAGATTTAAGTCAGATTTCTTCATATTTTAGTGACATTTATTATGTTTTTTATTTATGGACATTAATCATGAATGCTTATACTGTTATAAAATGTATAGCAGAAATGATTACAAAACTGTCATTTTGAAAATATAAAGACAAGAGTTACAGGAATTTATACTGTATCACAAGCTTCAGCACAAACTTCATTATGTGAACATAAGTTTTTGTTTTAATTTTAAGTGTGAAAAAAACCCACTTAAATTAAAGGTAAACTAATGGAAATTGCTGCTGTAATCTCTTATTATTTTATTAAACCATGTAATTTTCTATGATCCCGGGTTTATAACAACATTAATATTGTTGTGCGGCCTCAGCGTGCACTGCTCATGTTGCTCACAGTGATCCTCAGTGAACTGAGGGGGGCTCGTGTGTTTGCTCAGACACATTAAAAATTTGTGGGAACATTGCTTTTATTTAATAAAAAAGTAGAATAATGAGAGGGTATAATTAATATGAATAAACCAGTAATGAAATAACATTTGATAAAGTAATTTATTATATTGGATTAATATTTTATACTCTGTGCAACGGTCCCAGAGAACACAATAGATATTTAGAAATTGCCTCGCTCTAAACTAAACGATCACAGCATCTTTAATTTAAAATAATTCACTAAAGTCTGAGTCAATTTTCCAAACTAAGCACTAAAATAAGCAAAATAGCAGCTTTCTGCTGTAGGTTTGCTCTCCCATTGTAGAGAGCTAACGAAAATCTTTATATTCCACACAAACTAAAGAGTAACTCAGTTTAAGCTGTTGTTTACATCCATCAGGCACATAACAGGTCTGACTTCAGCTCTTATTTCTGGGGCTTATTGCATTATCTGTCATTTTGGTTTGCAGTTTTTTTTTACCCATGTGCAGAATCACACAGAGAACCAGTACATTTTGATCTAGAAGGGGAGAGTTGCAGGAAGTCAAGTGAGCTTTCTGGTTGATCTGAGGGGAGAAAACTGACTGATCTGGAAGAAGTTGATTGATGACAACTGGTGACTGACTGATTTTCTTACTTGAGGGATAAAGGGGAGGTAGCAGAGGTCCAGGAGAATTCTATGTTTTCTACTTCGTTTGTGCCTGTGATGGTTGTTCACTTGTATATCTGCATTTGAAAGTTTACATTTTCCATTCCTTTTTATGTGTATTGTACAAATGATTTAGAAATCATAGATTCACTTGTAAAGCCAAGGCCACATTTACCCCAGTGTATTAAAACCTACATCAGAGAACCAAAAATATGTCTGATCAGGGAAGTCTCATATCTGTGTAGATGTTTAACATCAACTTTATTGCTTAGTTACTTCTCAGGTTTACACCTGAGAAGTAACTAAGCAATAAAGGGAATAGATAAGGGAAGCCCAGATTATCTATTTCAACTGAAGCTAATACTTTGGTTAAAAGTTACACAGCGTTGCTTTGACAAAAACCTCATGCCTAAAGAATTGGATGTTAAAGGAGAAATGAAACGATCAACCAAACCAACTTACTTAGGAGATCCTGTCTTAATATTATCAAAAATTGTATTACAAAAGTAAAAAATAAACGTATAGAAGAAAAAAAACAAACTGTTTGCTGTATCAAAGTCTATAAATGAAAAAAGCTGAGTGATAGGAGAAACTGGGGTTAAATTGGTACATAATTTTGTATTTTTACTGGCTTTAAGCTGTAACCATTGGAATTAACAGCAATACACAATTAAAATGTCCCTCTGAAGTTAAAACATACTCATTGTGTGAGTATTACGTTTTGCTATTAAATCACTGAATAGATACAGTTCAGTTTTGTCAGAACACAAAGAAAACTAGTAGAATTGTAATAACCTGTCTATATACTGAATATTTGCTCTTCTGTGTTTTTTTTCATCAAGCTCTAACTTTATCTCTGATTATGTAGGAGCTTGAGGAGACAGAGAGGAGACTGAAAGAGCAAAAGTGCGAGACGCTGACAAGTGATTGGAGCTATCAGTCTGTGAGTGGCAGCTGTCCTTTAATGAGTCCCTCCTGTCCAGGACTGAGTCCCAGTCACGCACCATCAGAACGATCATCTGGACACAACATAGGTACCAGTTCACTCATTACACAGATTAGCATCAGAGTGCCTTAGACTCCCAGTTCACATTAGAAACTGTAACTGAAAGATTAGACATGTCATTTGAAAGAACCATGTTTCCCCACTTGAAGCTAACATCTTTATATTATAATATATAACTTGTGTATTTGTCACAGTATTCTGGTTTTCAACTGTTAAAAGACGTGTTGTCTCAAAAATATAGTACAAATAATAGCTTTACACTGAATTATATTCGAAGTACAGTTTTCTAGCTTCTTCCAGGTTTTTCCGGTGCGGTTCCTCCCAGTGTGATGACTCCCTCTACCCAGACTGCTGTTTATCTGCGGGGCTTTTCACAAGCAGCACACAAATCCAGAGCGAGGCAAAGTTTGGTTAGTATAAAGGTGCTGATTTCATCCCTGTATTCCTGTTTATCTCTTCTCTTAACAACATAGCAGCTGAGGTCATATTACTACCAACGTTGTGTTTTCTCACTGTTATTCATGTGTTTTTTTTTATGCAGTTTGATCTGGAAATATTATGTTTTTAGTTAAAGCCCCCTTCACTCTTAGTATGTACGTCCTCAGCTACAAATGATCCATCTGCTGAATGTTGAGTGGCGGTTGAAGGAAGTTTAAACGAACTAATGATTTCTTTGTTCTCTCTTTGTGTGTGAATACTGTGTTTTTCAGGTTCTAACAGCAGAGCATCAGAAAGCCTGCTGTCAAATTGGTGCCATGATCCGAGGCTTCCTCATACGCAGACTACTCAAAACAGAAAAGGTGAAACACCTGCGCCAAACCGTTGTGGTAAGATGACTTCCAGACAATAAATAAGAAGGAACTGTAATTCTAATTAGAATATTTTACTTATTTAATTAATTGTAGCATTAAAAACTATAAAAAATTATAAAACTAAAAATAATAAACTTTTGTAAACTTGTGCCTTAGGATACACAAGAATTCATTAAATCATTTGAGACTGAAGCTGCAGAGAAGAGAGGGAGCTACACTGCACAAGACCTTTCCCTGCAGGAGAGAGTCAGAGCTCAGGTATGACTATGATATTACTGTCTGCAGCCAGCAGAGGTTCTCCTGTTCTTATGTTATTAAATGAGACCTTTTGTCCCGCAGCTGCGTGCAGCCCTGTATGACGTCCATGAGATTTTCTTCGAAATGCCTTTGAGGGATCGATTAGTGCTTCTGCAGCAGGACAGGGAGCTCCGTGCAGAGAGAAAACTTCGAGAGCTGGTAATTTAATAACTAAGGCCAGTTTTTAATGACATTATTATTATTGAGGATTCACAAGGAACATTTTAACTTCGGAGGCAACAGCGTTTTTTCCTCCAGTTTTTAACTATAGAATATTTCTTGATTTTCCTTTCGCTCTTGAAGAAACATTTTCTTTTAAATCTTTTTTGTTCTGCAGGAGAAAGCCAAGTCTCCCAAAGACAGGGTGTCTATTTCTGCTGCCACACAAAGATCTCTAGACAGAAAGAAGAAGTAAGATGAGATGGAAACCTACAGACATGTGATGTTTCAGCCGAGTGTTTTTTGTAAAATTTGGGTTTGATGATTCCTCAGGGCCAGTGAATCCCCCGCACCAGTCAGGAAGGCACAACGCAAGCCAAAAAGCCCCACAACCAACAGGTTACACATGTTTTTGTCTCAAGCGTTCTTTAAGCCTGTTCTCAGAGTTTGTTTGGTTTATTATGTAAGGTTTGAAAACCTTATTGAGATTTCAGCTTTTTATTATTTTCCAGAACTCTGAAGCCAAGCCAGGGTCACACGTCCTCTTCTCCAGGCCAGATGAACCGCCAGGGGTGAATTTTTTTGTTTTTTAATTTTTTCCTTCTCTAACACTAAACAAGCCTTCAAACCACAACAGATATTTATTCTGAATTTCATTTTTTTCCACATTTAAATAATAAAAAAAAAAAGTTAGTTTGCTGCTCTCTTATTTTTGTACAAATACGTTCTGATGTAGTTCCTAGAGTTTGTTATATTTTACCTATTGTAGTTACCCATAATTCAGTATCAATTAACAGCAATTTTCAGTTTTGGCTGTATGTTTATATTCATCTTTACTGAGAGTGAACCTCTGCCTCAATCTTAAGTGTGTTGCCTCCTTCAGTGTTTAGCTTCATCCGTCCTCATCATCTCTGTTTTATTGTGGGGATGGTGTGTATTGTGATGATGTGCTTTTATTTTTCTCCTTTACTCTACATATTGAGGACAAAGTTCCAATAATCTTGTCCCATATAAATTTAAACTCAGAATATCACTAGAAAATCACAATGTAAAAACTGAAATTAACACACAAACGACAATCTAAAAATTTGTTTTCTACTTTCCCTTAAAGTCCAGATTAATAGTATTAGTTCATGTGATATATGTGTCAAGTAGGGTGCAGGTTGAGGAGGACCCAAATGCAGAGACTAAAGCTGAAGGTGGTTTCTAGCAGATTTATTTATCCAAAAAGGCAAAAGAAGCAAAAATCCAAAAACATAAATCCTCAGGCTCCACAAAAATACAGAAAACCAGAAACTCACTTAAAGGGGAAGAAATGACGGTGAACCAGCAAAGAGTGACCGAACAGGAGGTGTATATATGGGAGACAGAAACAAAGCCCAGGCTGATAAGCAGATTGGGAGCAGGTGTGGACAGAGGAATCTATAAGGAAGCTAAGGGAAAGGAGACTGACAGAAGAGGGCAAACCAAAAATACAAAAGAACTCAAATACATCCAGAAAACACCACAAAATAGGAAATAAACCAATAAAACTAGAAAACACAGGAAAAACATAGATCAAAGTGAAACTGAAAACTCAAAACGAAAACTTAAACAGAGCCAAAACCGTGGCATAATGGTTTTTCTGTTATTAGTTCTTCCAGCTGAGCTTCAGATTTCATTCAGGACCATTTTAATAAATAACACAACATTAATATACAACATATATAAAAAATATATTTCTTAAAGCAATAGTTCAGATTAGTTTATTGTTTATTGTTTGTTTATTCTCAACTTATGTAACCAATCAAATTGTATAAAAGGATGACGTGGTTCAATACCTTTCACCACTCATACAGTGATGAACATTTAGCAGATGAGTAAAGTGTGTTTAAAGGATTAGATTTAACATGGATTATATAAATAAATTAGACACATTTGCAAGTGTTTGTATTCTAAAGGAAATCAAAGTATTCAAAGTTGCCTTACTTACAGTGTCTGTTCTTCCTCAGGAGCTGGTGCAGAAAGACTCCAGAAGAGAGAGTGAGGATCTTGGACACAATGAGGAAGCAACACTCTGTGGGATGACTAACGCATTAATGCCTGATTTTAAAACTTGAATTTTTAATGTTAATATAAATCTTGTACAAGTGAAACCATTACTATCAGTGCTGCTAAGTTTCACTCCAGTCTCACTTTTAAACAAGAGTTCACCATCACACAGTAGCCCACTGCTTAAACGATCTAATGTGCAATGTTTTTATTTTTACCTTTTGAAACCTTTTTTTTTTATTGTTAACTACTGATTGTATAACAGGAATGTAATAAGTGTTGAGTAATTTATTAAGAAGGCTGGTGTTTTTTTGAGTAGAGAGGCAGCTGCTCAGTCAGAGCTAAACAAGTTAGAAATGTATCTGTGCCTAAGAACTACGGCGTGCTGCCAGCACGTTTATTCTCTATTTATCTCCTGGGATCATAAACACTAAGTGCTTGTGGTTGTAAGAAAAAAATAAATGAATAAATAATAAATCTATTAGTTTCATGGTATTGTAATTATTTTAAAATTATAATATATATGTTCTTGCAAATGTATCCATACCTGTGAATTTACATTCAAACCAGAGCTGCAATGTATTTATTGGAATTTTAATTAATTTACTGAAAAAAACGTGGTGGAGAATCACACAAAGGATGAAAAAAAGGGTTTATAATGTTTTAAGGAGATTTATTACCTTAACCATGACCAGTTACTTCCCTGCCAAAGACAGCGTCTTTACAGCATGGCCGCCACCACCATTCTTCACAGTATGAATGGAGTGTTTTTTGCAATGTGAGGTCATAGTTTTTTCTTAGTCATTGTTTTTTTTGTGTTGTCTGGCCATTTTTGTCACTAGTGGTATTTATTTAAACGTGGCATGCAGGTGGCGAAGTGGTTAGCGTGCATAACCCATGTACGGAGGCCTTAGTCCTCGACGGAGTGAAGTTTGCCATGATGGTGTCTTTCATGCTTACTTTTATCCATTACTTCAGTTTTGAAGTTACTAACCTGAGCCTTTCTCCTGCAGAGTTTCCAGTGAGCCCATCGTCGCAGACGAGCAGCCACACCCTACCTCAAACACTCTTTTGAATATATCAATGTCTGTCTCGCTTGAATTCTGGGTCCTATGTTCTGAGCTTTCTAACAGAATAATATGGGGCCCACCCAGATAATGTTGCTTACTGTTATTGTGTCGTTACGCCATTGTTCAAGAGGAGGAACTTAAAATGCTTCACCACAAATATACAGTTGGTTTGGAAAAATGGAGATAAGCAAGACTGAGTAAAGTGATATTAAGGAAAGAAGCATCAGACAGTGAATTAAAGGAGCTGATTAACAATGTCACCTGCAGAGATATGCAAACCATTTATGAAGAAATACGACAAATACAAACTCCAGGTGCAGAAGCAAGGCGCAAAGTCATTGCATGTACATCACTTTTTGCATTCATGGTCAGAAGAGCTGAGAAACAACTGCAAGGAGACTTTGCAGAAGGCAACAAAGAGCCTTGGCCAGATATTGGGTCATGCTTGGGATCTGAAAATACAACATCAAGGTCAAAATCTAGAAGGTCTAAAGGTAGTTCACAAACAACCAAGAGATTGGAAGCCGAGGCTGAGGCAGCTGCATCTCAAGAAATATTAGTAGTAATGGAACATTTTTAAATTACACACTAAATCAGTAAATCGGCCATATAGTGAAGCTTAAAGTATAATGTTCTCGCCTCAAATTATCTTAAATCTTAAAAACTGCTGCCGTGGTGCATGCTGAGATAGTTGTCAGTCTGGAAAATGCACAAGTCTCCTCTGATTTATGTTCTGTAAAGATCGATGGACGGGAAAAACATCCAGGGATTATTTACACTTGATAAGACAATTTTTTCTTTTCTCCTTTAATGTTTGATTATTGACATAGAAAACTCAGTCTCTGATTGCTGATTTATTTCATAGAATGCAGCAAAACCCAAGCTTTTTATATAGCAACACTTTGGATAGTAGCAAAAAATAAACTGTTAAACATGATAATAGACCTGGTTTATTATTTCTATTATATAGAATTTTGCGAACTACTATTCCTGAAACTGTTGGTATAAATGCATCAAGACAGATAAATGTGATGCTAAGAAATCAGCTGCTGCAAATATTTATCAATTCTAATTCTTTTTAACTTTTAAATTATTAGTCTGACTGTAAATATTTTTGTAACAAATTGTTGTAACTAATTCATGCCTTTGATTATTAACACAAATGCTTTATTTAAGTGCATTTTTTCTTCTAAGGTACAGTACAATGGTGCTAATTAATGACACTGTGAAACTGTTATTTCATAAAGACTGAAAGTATAAATTTATAAATAGTAATGTTACATTGATTTTTCTTATGCTTAACAATCACTGTTGCACCTGATTGTTATTTTAACATATGATTTTTCTTTCTGACCTAAATAAATGTAGAATAAAAAATGTTGTTTTTCTTTTGTCTGATACTCAAGATCTTCTTTGTATTTAATTTTGGTTTAATGTGTTTGACTAACACTAAGTTGTGTTTAATTATTTTCCACTTTCTTTTTTGACTGACATCATCTTGCATTTATTACCACTAATTTCTCTGTCAACAGTTTTCATGCAGAAGAAAATCATACCCAGGTCATTGTGAATTTATTTAATCATTTCAATGGAAAGTTGAAAAAAAGGTATGCATCCTGACCTAGCTGAACAGATCTTAACAATAACCATTGTTCTAAATTTCACCAAGATTCCAAAACAAAAAAAAAAAAAAAAAATCCCAACAGAAACAGAAAGAAATAACTCCCACTACACTTCCACTTTTGATATATTTTACATGTAAGTCCAAATATCAATAAATTCACTCTCTTCTTTTTTAACTAACCTTTGATTCTACTGCATATATTATATGTAAGACTGCTTTCTCAGTAAATGTTAAGTTTATGAAAAAAGAGTTGATTATTATACTCCAACATAAAATCAATACAACTTGTTCAATATAATATGAAAAGTAATAAACATAAGATAGATTTTTTTTCTCCTGTAATTTTGTTTACAGCACTAAAACATGGATTTGCATCAAATCTGACGGATTTGCAATTTTAGTTTCACTTTCTAAATTCCTTAAGACAAAATGAAAAACAGTTGCAAATAAACTCAAAGGGAAAACAAATCTAAATAGCTATGTTCCAGACCTGAAGAAATAACATCTTGGCAAAACAAGCTTTGGTCATCTTTTCTGTTTCCTCATACGGACGTTTTTCTTCTCAATGGATGTAGATGCAGCATCTGTCCTCATGATGAATCCCACTAATATGTGTAGCTGTTGAACAGAAAGCCACAAATACAACCTTAAGTTTTGGATGTCAAAATATGAAAAAAAAAAGAATAAAAATGAATAAATTATAAAAAATTATAAATTACTTATTGTTGTCTTTACCTTTAAAGTGTTCCCTTGTTTTGGCTGATTTGCAGAAGCTCGTCGTAGAGTCTTTGCACGAATTCAAACTCCTCGGAAACATCTAAGAACACAGTTTTTATTAGTTCTTCTGTAAAAACATGCATAAAAATGCATTTCATTTTGAAGAAGTGACACCTCACCTGGAATTGACTGATTATCAGTCCCAAGTGAGACCTCAATAGCTTCCTTCATTCTATCCTCCAGTCCTCTCAGAATTGCCATCTGATTGGTATTAAAACTTTTATCACTTAGTGCAGTCAAACCTTATTTAAACCTAATCATGATTGGTGTCAGTTTTCCTGAAACCTCTTTCTAAACGGCTTAATGAAGTGGAAGAATATTTTAATTGACAGATTTATATTTCTTTGTAAATAAACATATGTTCTCTAGCATATAAATAGTTTATTGTCTTTTATGTATAGATTTTACCAATAGATGCTGATGCCTTAAGTGTAATTACGAAACAGACAAGAAGCAGAAGGCTGCAGTTTTTCACACCATAATATGGATCAACATGTGTATGGTAACAAGGTTGAGATTAGAAATATGAAATAAAAAGGTAGCATCATTTATATTATAATTATTGAATATAACATACCATCAAGTTGTCTAGTTGGTTCATCATAACATTTTTAGCATTTTCAAACATGTTGTCCTTTGAATCTAATACATGTTTCTCAATAGTTTCCTGCATTTTCAACAGTGTACCAGTGCCTGAAATTACTGCTGCTTCTGGAAAACAGAGAGAAATTAAAACAAAAGAATGAAGTGTTATTAAAAATAATAAATATATAATTAGCATTTTAATTACTTGATATTTTTTCTTACTTTTGTAGCAGTCTTGCATGGTTTCCTCAATTGTCTTTATCAGACTTGTGAAGACAGTTTTTTTTAGCTTAAGAATAGTTTTGCTTAGGTATGTTTTAAGCCAGTCTTCCTTAAAAAGCATACAAATTGATATTTTAAAAGTAACTCTAATTTTTGTTAATCATTAGGATAATATATCAATCTCCGTTTGAGCCAGCACAAATGAATTTAATCTTTTCACATCCTTGTGTTTTTCTTACTTACCTCTGACTTGAGGAATAGCAGCTGCAGTTCCACATCTTTGTATGTTTGTTTTAGTCCATCAGTGCCAAGTGTAAAATTATTGATCGCTCCATTGAATGGTCCACAATGTCCCTCTTTTCTAAAACATTTTAAAATCAGACATCACATCAGTCACTTCTTGGTAATATTGGTGCACTCATACAATTGGTGCACTCCCCAAACTAAATAACTTATTCATTGTCTGATCAGCTCAAAGCCCTTTCAATAAGATAGCATAGTCATAATGTAAATCAGGGGCACTAGAACCCTGTCTGGAATGCATGCCTCCCCTTACTATCCTGGGAACTGCTCTGCTGGTGTCAGCATTGTTGCCAACTCAGCAAATTTGTTGCAATATTTAGTGACTTTACAGATCCCTTTATAGTGGCCTTTTTTTTTCTTTCAAAAAAGCAACAAGTCTAGCAGCTATGTCCTGTTTTGTTGGAGATTTTGGTGACAAAATGAAAGCACCAATTGCTCTGATTGTAAAAAAAAAAAAAAAAAAAGAAGGAAATAATGCATTCACTCCTTACACCTCATACAAATAAGACCAAAATAATTATAAAATTTTTAAATCAGTTTTAACACAAACATTTGGCCAGGTGCATAATATAGCGGCAACTGATGTCCGGTCACAGGGTGTGATGCTTGGGACTTTTTGTTGCTTTCTGGCCCTGTCAATCAACCTGGAATGTTGACAAAGAAAACTAGCGAGAAGAGAGAAAATGTGTTTGTTTGGTGTCAAAAGGAGAGATTGGGTTATCAAAGGGTAGGAGGATCTTCACTACACTGTTGTGTACTGAAATGTACTTGTTCTTCATGGTACATTTCAAGTCTTAGCTTCCACTGCTTCCCTGCTGATAATGCAGTGCATCAGCTATGGCTAGCTAGAATCTGGAGGGCTAACTTAATTTCAAGTAGGGACACGAGATTATGCAGCCGGCATTTTTTACCTTGTTATATTGGTTATATATAACATTTGCATTTAGTATAAAATTTTAAATCAGTGTTTTAACGAAACAATGCAATTAACTATGCATATTATTTTGTTTTGGGTTTTTTTTGCGTGATGCGCTCATGCTAGTTTATTCGCGGGTGTGCGATTCAATAAAATCAAAGTTTATAATTTTGCATATTTTTATTTGGTGGGATGATAAACCCCAAATCAAGTGAAGAACATTGTTAATAGTCACTTTAAGCAGGTCCTTTAAGACAGCGGTTGTAAAACTAAGGCAAGTTTTCAACGGGCTCAGAACGGCACTGGAAGTGAACAACATCACACCTAGGAATGCGGAAGTTAATTTATGTTGCCTGGTGCAACAAAACAAATTGGGAAAAGTTAAAGAGGTATGAGTATATTTGTAAATCACTTTAATGAAGCTCTTACGGAAAGGTTTCTCTGAATAGCTTGTCAATGCTTTCAGTCAGACAGGAGGTTAATTTCATGTTGAGATTTATTTCTTTTCCCTTTTTAGGTTTCCAGATGCCGCCATTCTCTACTGCTTTTTTCAGCTGCTTATGGAATCCCCGGCCACTCTTACCCTAAAGGTTAGCACAAAAGAAAAATAAATGTATAATTAATACAATAGGGTAAAGAAACTGTACAATCAATAAAGAATCGATACCAATAGCTAGAGAAATATAAGACAATCCTATAAATCGTAAATACTTTCTTACTACTATATAAATACTTACCTTGGGATACAGGGCAGCCCTCAAGATTTCTTCATATGAGCTTTTGGATTTCTCAACTCCTTCTTGAAGGTGTTCTTCAAAGGCTCTTGTAATTTTGGCCATTTCATTTCTGACTGACTCAGTTTGTAGACTTAGAGTTTGGTCAAGAAGATCACGCACTTCCTTATTTCTGCCATTCTGAAAAAACAAAGCCAACAGTTATTTTTGGCTATTTTAAAGCTACAATGTGTAATTTTAAGTGACATCTAATGACAAAATGGCTTCCATAACATCCGCTTTACCTATCTTTCCAAGTGATGACAAGGTTTATTTACATTAGATCACAGCATCAAATCCATAAATTTTTCAACACTGTTGTCTCTAGTATATTCACAAGTATACAATTTGTTTAGTGTGAAAGTATTTTTTTCCCACTTTTATTGTCATTACACTGTCTAAAGTCAGCAGAAGAGCGACACTTTTAATAGGTGGCTCTGGACTTTTATTGTACAGAGCAATGAAATTCCCCTCTGCAATTTATACTTCTGACGCATAGCCTCTGAAACCGTCAAATTTGTCTCTGTGCACGACCCCCCCGCGCAGAGGCTCTGCAACCATCCTGGCGCACCTCTAAAAAATCCTGACTACATGTCGGACGGTCGCAAACCCGTGCAGATCTCAAGCGGAGGTGTGCAGACAAAAAGCAGCTGTGATTGGTTCTTGGTATGCCTTTCCGGCTGTCTATGTGGTCGTCCTTCTCAATTCAGTGCCAGGGCACGCAATTTATAAAAACCGAGGAGTAATAACAACAGTGGATAACCACGACGAAAGGTTGATCGAGGAGGTTTGGAAGTAAAACCACTTGTACGTTGCCTCAGATATGTTGTTTTGGAAAATAAACACTCCCTCCGGCACCGCCGAAGAAGTTCTCATGACCATCCGCCAGAGTTCCTGCGAGTTCTCGAATAGGCTCCCCTTAGCACATTGGCTGGAAACTGCTGTGCATCCCTAGACATTCCAGACCGACGATGCAGAAACATACCAGCAAAATTGGTTCATGACCATACGCAAGCGACATTTAATGTGTGCGGAAGCAGAAGTATAATCTACCCTTAAGGATCTTTTGCAGGACCCAGAGTGGCAGTCTGTCGGAGTGGGGCTTGAACTCAGAACCTCTGGATTCCAAGCCCTAACCACTCTGCCAACAATACCCGGAGAAACAAATTAACTCTCTCCATTTAACCCATCCCCTTGGGGAGCAGGGGACTGCCAATGTGCAGCACCTGGGGAGAAGTGTGGGGTTAAGGATTTTGCTCTGGAAACCAGAGTGAAGGCTGTGTGAATCGAATCGGGTACTTACAACTTTCTCAGAGCACAAGCGCACTGCTCTAACCACTAGGCCAACACTCCCCTGAAAGTATCATGACATGACAACTCTTTTATTGAAGGAGACCGCAGACACAAGCTTTTTGAAATCAAAATGGGAGACTAATAATGTTGACAAAGGATGAAGCGGGGAATGCTCATAAGAGGTTTTTTTAGTGGCTCTTAAAAAAGCCATTTCAATTTAGCCCTAGAAAAACACTATCCCCGCAATGCAACAGCCAGCACTTCAGTCATCTTCATAATAAGTGGGCGCTTGCCAATCGTGGCCAATATAAGCCTTGTTTACATAGATAAATTTATAAATTGTATTTTATTGGTCTGTGTTGGATTCTATATAAGCCTATAACTTGCCCATTCAAGTGTAATGGCGATCTCCATAATCTCTAGTTTGTCAGCTTTGCTGAGGTAGGGTAAAAGATGTTCGCCTCCACAAATAGGAAACGACTCCTATACATTTATAAATTGCAATTTCTAAGGCAGGTCAAACAAAAAAAGAGGGATAAAGATTGAGACTTTCAGTTCACTGGTGATAAATAACATACATACAGATAACATATTAAATTCATGTCAGTTAATCCCTGAAATTCTTACAAACTGTACTTTTGAGACATTTCCTTATCTAATTTAATTAATCACAATAATGATTAATTATGATTTTTAAAAGAAAGCCTTGGTTCTTAGAATTCTGAGTTTTCAAAATGTTGTGTTCCTTATGGATAAAAAAACGTTTTGTAATGTTAATGTCATTACACTTTTCATGTACCTGATACTTCAACAAACCTTGGACTTACTGACTTTCTCTGGGCTTTCTCAGAATCCAAATGTAAATGAATTAATAACACGTAAAAAGTATTCAACTATTTACCCTAGTTAAATAAACAGAGATCGATGGATTTCACTGTCTGCATTTTATTCATATCTTTGCAAAGAGAGAACAGTTCATCATACAGCCCTTATGGCACCGTATTCAGCCCTGTTCTGCCTGAGCAGCGTTCGTTCCCCCTTACTTACAACAATGGAAAAGTAGTCAAAGTCCAAACAAATTACAAACACTTTGGTTTACAGTAACATGTTATGAATAAAACTTGAGAAAGAATCTGGTTTGTTTTGGGAAGAAGCTATGTCTGGTCTACAAACACTCCTCACCAGTGAATGGTGTGGGGTTGAAGGTGAAAGAGACTGAGTGAAAACTTTTATAGTGAGTAAATAGGATAAATTAATATATAATAGAAGAGAAATCTAAATGTTCCGACAACAACATCTTTGCATGCTCTGAATATCAAATTTCTTAAATCTGTTAAAACATCTGAAGATGGTGAAACATTAAATTCTCACTCTTACCTCTTGTCTTAAGCTGGCGCTGTGCA